AAAGAAAGAAAGAAAGAAAGAAAGAAAGAAAGAAAGAAAGAAAGAAAGAAAGAAAGAGAAAAATACCTAATTGTATTCTGCTCTTATACTACCTATGACTATTTTTAAAAATTTATTTATTTATTTATGCTTGAAGAATTGGGGAGCAGAACAGGTGGATTGATGAAGTACACTGCTGAGGAGAGCAGCAATGGGTCAGGAGAGGTCTGCCACACCATGTGGATCACCGCCAGGGCCGGGAATCAAACTCTCACTGAAGCAGTTGCGCTAGCTTGTAGTGCTGCATCCTTACACATTGCACCACCAGGGAGGGCCCACATGGGGCTATCTGATTAAAGATTACTTTATGGGAGAGAAGCAGGCCTGCACTCTCCTAAAGAAAAAACTACTGGTCTGTTTTTAAGTAAAGTTGTTCTTGACTGTCAGGTATTCCCAAGAGGGGAGTACCAGGAGGTAAAGGGTAGCCCCCCAAGTGCTTTAGTGACTCTGACAAATAATAGTTACACCAATAAGATAAGCTCCTTTAAGACTTTGTAATTATTTTAAAGAGTGTTTAAAGAACTTGCTAGGATAACAGAGCATGCAGATTAGATGAGGTACCATGAGCTAGAGATCACATAGGAAAAAGGAAACAGTATAGTTACTGTTACAAGTGTCAGAATCACCTGAAGGACTTGCTCAGTGACTTCTGGGCTTCACTCCCAAAATGGCTATTCAGTATTTGAGGGTGAGAACTAAGAATTTGCATTTTTGAAAATTTTTCAAATGCTGCTGCTGCGGCTGTTGAGGCAAAGGCCACGTTTGAATAAGGTAAAAATGTTTGGTGGATCCATCTGTTCAGAGATTTGGGAAAATTATAAGCAGGATGTAGAAACTCCATCTGGAGATCAGAAATGAAACAGGCTAGAGACACAGGAGGCACATGAGCTATTGGCACATGTAGTTATCTTTCTCCCCTTTGAAAATTCGCAGATTACAGAAGGGAAGGAGAAACTATGACAGTAAGATTAGTGAAGAGTAATGACAAGAGAGGGGAAGAGAGTAAGCAACAAAGAAGAAAACAGAGATTATAGTGTAGAGTGCACATAGCTGCAGTGCCTAGTGTCAGACTGGTGTGGAGCCTGCCGTTCCTCAGGCCAATATCTTATTTAGAGAAGGATGAGAAAGCACAGTTTCCTCATCAGTGCACTGAGTTTTCCTAAGAATGTCTTAACTTGGAAAATTACATCAGAACTGGGTTATATAATCCCATTCCTACATGTATCTACCCAAAAGACACAAAAACACTGATTCAAAAAGACACCTGCACTCCCATCTTTTTTTTTCTGCTTTATTTACAATGGGAAATACATGGAATCAACCAAAACACCCAAAAGTAGAGAACTGAATTAAAAAGATGTTGTACATATACATAATGGAATATTACTCAGCAGTCAAAAAGATAAACTTATGCCTTTTGCAGCAGTATGGATGGAGCTGGAAGGGGTCATGCTTAGTAAAATAAGCCAGAAAGAAAAAGAAAAATACCAGATGTTTTCACTCAAAGCAGGAACATAAAGGATGGGGGGGGAATAATAATAATGAACAACTCTATACCAGAGACATTTTATGGTGGTGGACGGGGGTAGGAAGGAAAGTACACTGGACTATAGTGATGGAACATGAGTGATTTGGTGATGGGAAGCCCATGAAGATTATAACCGAGATGGAAAAAGGCACAAAATAATGTAAAAATAAACTATTATATTATTATAAATAAATAAATGCAAAGCTTAAAAAGTCTTAAATCACTAAGAAGGTGATTAAAAAAAAACTGGGTTAGACCCTCCCTGGTGGTGCAGCAGATTAAAGCACAGCACTAAGAAGCTAAAGTCACTTCAGCGTGAGTTCGATCCCTGCCCTGGAGATGAGTCACATGGTGCAGCAGACCTCTCCTGACCCGACCGCTACTCCCCTCAGAAGTGTACTTCATTACTGCTTCCCACTCTGTTTCTAGTGAATCGTCTCACCGCCCCTGCACCTGTGGCCTGTACCCCAGTTCTTTATGTATGTATAAATAAATAAATAAATAAATAACTAGGTTATGCTCATAATATCATTGCACAGATAAGAACTCATGTATGTGTCTTTTATATGACACTTGAATAGCCATTCCATGA